CTCTCCTATCCTTATTGACGATCTTGCCCTTGCGACAAAATTCATTCAGAGAGAGCATCAGGTGTACAATACATGTGTATACTTTGCTATATCGCTCATTTGGTGTTCTCCATCCCATAATCGTGTCTCTAGCACTCTATCCCTATCTCTCCCTTATCTTGCCTTTGCGACAAAATTCATTCAGAGAGAGCATCAGGTGTACAATACATGTGTATACTTTGCTATATCGCCTCATTTCGGTGTCTCCATCCCTATATCGTTTCTCTAGCACTCTCTATCCCTATCTCTCGCCTTATCTTGCCTTTGCGACAAAATTCATTCAGAGAGAGCATCAGGTGTACAATACATGTGTATACTTTGCTATATCGCCTCATTTGGTGTCTCCATCCCCTATATCGTTTCTCTAGCACTCTCTATCCCTATCTCTCGCCTTATCTTGCCTTTGCGAAAAATTTTTCGTGTTTGTGTTTGTGTCTACACTGGAACCAAATACTTGCGAAAAAGATACGTGAAATTCGTGCGAAAGTCTTTTATTAGTTTTGCTACTGATGGGACTCAAACCTCTACACAATCAAGTAAAATGCTGGCAGGCAAGATAGATGTACACAACCTACAGACAAATTGAACGGAATGGCTCCATTCTTTATTCAGCAGCAGTAAGACATAAATGGCATTAATGGCACATTATACAGTGGAACCACTCTAATCCAGACACCACTGTGGCAGAAGAAAGTGTCCATATTACTGAGGTGTCAATAAGTCTTGGGAAAAGAAAATGTGTCCTCATGTATTAGTGAGGTGTCCCATATCAGGGGTGTCCTTAGAGCTAGAGCTAGTTCCACTGCAGTGGGCTACTAGTATAGTGGAGTAACATATGGACGTACAGTGATGCAGTGATATCAGCACCTCTTCTGAGAATGACGAAGTATCCGATGCAACGTCTCTCTACGTCTTTCCCATAGGCTGTGGGCGAATGAAGGGGTTAATGGTAATTAACATGCTTAGTTAGTGCAAGGTTTCTATTCCACAAGTGTTTTTTTTCCCTTCACTTCTTCCTTTCCTGCTTCCTCTTCCATTATACATTCCCTTCCTCCCTTCCCGTCATTTTTATCTATCATTCTTGTACTTCTGCTCTTTCCTTTCTTCCAACAACAACTCAGACCTCACCTTTCAGACCCCCGGTGTCCCCCTCTGTTCTGTCGTGTCTCTCCTCTCTTATTTACCCCCTTGCCCACCCACCACTCCCATCATCCATTTTTAGCCACTCACTCCCTCCCTCCCCCCCCATCCACTCACTCCTCCATCCCCCACCTCCTCCCTCACCCACTCACTCCCATCATCCATCTTTATCCACTCCCTCCCTCCCCACCCTCCATCACTCCCTCATCCACCCAGCTCACCTACTTACTAATCCCATCAATCCCTCTTAACACTCACTCCCTCCCTCATCCCTCGCTCCCACTACTAATTCCATCCATCCCTTTACCCACAACTCCCCTCCCTCCCTCAATCATTCACACTCACCTACTTACTAATCCCATTAATCCCTTCATTCCAAACTCCCTCACTCCATCATTCACTCGCTCACCTACTTACTAATCCCATCCATCCCTCTTTCACACTCCTTCCCTCCATCATTCACTCGCTCACCCTACTTACTATCCCATCCATCCTCTTTCACACTCACCTCCCTCCATCATTCACCGCTCACATACTTACTATACAATCATCCCTCTTTCACACTCCTTCCCTCCATCCTCCCTCCCTCCCTCCTGTCCACTCACTCTCTCCCTCACCCACTCACTCCCATCCATCCCTCTTTCATCCACTCCCTCCCTCCCACCCTCACTCACTCCCTAATTCACTCGCTCAACTACTTACTAATCCCATCATCCCTCTTCAAAATCCTACCTCCCTCATTCACTCGCCCTCAACCTAATTACTAATACCATCATCCCTCTTTCAACACTCCCTCCCTCACTACCTACCTCCCTCCCTCCTCCTGTCCACTCACTCTATCCTTCACACCACTCACTCCCATACATCCTCTTTCATACACTCCCTCCCTCCCACCTCACTCACTCCATCATTCACTCGCTCACCTACTTACTAATCCCATCCATCCCTCTTTCACACTCCCTCCCTCCCTCATTCACTCGCTCACCTACTTACTAATCCCATCATCCCTCTTTCACCCTCCCTCACTCCATCATTCACTCGCTCACCTACTTACTAATCCCATCCATCCCTCTTTCACACTCACTCCCTCCCTCATTCACTCGTAACTATACTAATCCATCCATCCTTCTTTCACACTCCCTCACTCCCCATTCACTCGTCACCTAATACTAATCATTCATCCTCTTTCACACACTCCCTCCCGCATCACTCGCTCACCTACTTACTAATCCATTCATCCCTCTTCACACTCCCTCCCTCCCTCATCACGCGCCTCACTACTACTAATTCAGCCATTCCTCTTAACCCACCAATACCCTCCTCCTCTCACTCCATCATTCACTCGCTCACCTACTTACTAATCCCATCCATCCCTCTTTCACACTCCTTCCCTCCCTCCCTCCCTCCCTCCTGCCCACTCACTCACCACTCTTGTACTGTTTCTTGAGGGCAATGATCTCCTCATTGCTACGTGTACAGAGGATCTCTATAAGAGTGCTCTCATCTGTGCCCAGACCCTACGAATAAACCCAACTCTTAAAGGAATGTGGTAGTAGTATATATACAAGGGCTAAATTTAAAAACTGTTACTATAATTATTGCATTATCTGTGCGCATTCGCAGCGAGTGTTACAGTACTTGGTGTGGTTTGCCTGTCCGTCTGTTATCGCTATTCCGCCACTATAGCACGAGGCGCCAATAAGCACCACAACAGCTTCGAGCAACAGGCAGCATGGTGTTTAAAATGGTGATTTCCCTGAAACCACTGCATTCGAGAGCTATGGCGTGAAACTAAAGTGAAAAAGTAAATTAGCAATGGCTTACCTTGACTAGCGCCTGCACTTCAACACGCTGTGTGGGCACAAGATTACTCAGGGGACGATTATCCAATCCAGCATTGCTCGAAACGCTAGTCAATAATAACTAGGAATGCGCACGCGCATATTTTGCCTCGCACCTGCCAGCCAATGCGTAAACAGTCCGACTGAGGCCGCTCGTGCGCGCGCTCTACTGACTGCGCGTGAAGCCAGACTTCCTACGAATCTGCGCGCACGGCGGAAGCTAGACTTCCTACGAATGATGGAAGTGACATTCCTAAGCGTGACTAATTGACATTCTTAAGCGTGACGACACGTACGTACGTATATCGCGAGAATACAACCCGGAGTAGTTGCCTCACGCTAACGCGCTAGTCAATAATGCTAGCGTGAACTAAGAGTGAAAACCGACACTGTCCGCGACTGCGTGGCGTGGCCCAGCCTATCAATTAGCTCGCGTATATGTGTAGTGCGTAGTGGCAGGTGAGCGTCTTGGGGGTTTGCACTTCATTGCTTGTTTTAGTCCTACATTTATCCCTTATGTACTGTCACACTCCCTTTAAAAGCACATACAATAGGTATGCAGCAATTCTCTTGTGTATGTATCCGTTGTATTTCCACAGGAATGTTTAATAGCTAGAGAAATGGGTGCAATGTCTGTAAAAAGCAAAACGTCTGTATCCCATAGTGCAGTTGCCTGGCAACTGTACAAGAGAATGTATGACTGATTTACTAAGTGCCCACACAGCTGCATAAGGTTTCCAGCAGTGAACATATATCTTTTTCAAACCCTCACTACAAGAATGAAAAGCACTAAAGTGCAAACCCTCGGCGAACTGTGCATGTCCAGCAGAAAAAGGCTGACTGTGCAGTTCACACAGTAGGAGAGGCTGACCTTGATGGCGTTGTAGACGGCAGCTGCGTCGTACTCTTGTGGAGTCATCATTAGTCCCAACACGACCTCTTCGAGATGTCCACTCAACTCACTCTTCACGTCAGATATCAGGTCCTGCAGTGGATATTATGTAACAGTGGAACCTCTAATGATGGGCACTTTATTTCTTTCTATCCAGATGCCGCACATACCAATAACAGACAGCCATTACACGTGTGTGCTCGCAAGCGAGTTCCAATTCTACGTGTCAGTAGTAGCTAGTATGTAAACGTGCTACGGTAGTCCATACGACTGGTGGGAGGCACCCTCTCGCTTCAGAAACACCCAAAGAGCAGAAAACGACTTTCTCACTGCCGGGGAGCGGCGACTAGACAGAGCTCAGCGTCTCACTTCAAACAACATACAACGCACGAGCCACAAGCATAAGCTCCCTAGCACGCTCACCAACAGCTGGCACATCCACAGTGGCGCGCTCCCAGCTCGCCAAATGCCTACATTCCTCTAGTATAATTATATATAGTTCAAAGACACAGAAGGTTGTGAGGTGTAAGGTTTATGTATCAATGAGTTAGCAAGGCAAAGCAAAGGCAGACAACACAATTACACTGAGAAAACTCTCTTTCCCATGAAACACACACTCACATGTACGTAGTACCCGACCAAACATTGACTTGAATTTTGATCTTGATTCTTGTCATTCTGGTCACTGGAGCGGTAGCGCCAGACGCTAATGATGGCCTTTCAGTCCGTACCTGCACACACAATAGATGAGTAGGTCAGACAGTTTACTGGTGAGGTGTGTCTGTCAGATCGTATTACTGCACACAGTGTACAGTGACCTCAGATAAGGTACCGCTCCGATAGATACGACCTCTCTACAAAGGACACTTTGTTTAACCATGCTAACACTTTAGTGTCTTATTTGACCCGATCCGAGATGGACGACCGCTCCAGAGTCATTGTCCCATAGTGTCCCTACTCGGAGGTTCAACTGTGTATATGCACACTGAGGTGGTAGAGACAATAGCATAGTACTTAGCATGGGTCCGAAACAAGTGTCCCTTGTAGAGAGGTCGTCCCTATCTCGGAGGTCAAATAATACACTAAAGTATTAGCATGGGGTTGAAACAAGTGTCCTTTGTAGAGAGGTCGTCCCTATCTCGGAGGTCAAATAATACACTAAAGTATTAGCATGGGGTTTGAAACAAGGGTCTTGTAGAGAGTCGTCCCTTTTCGGGTAAATATACACTAAAGTATTAGATGGGGTTGAAACAAGTGTCCTTTGTTGAGAGGTCGTCCCTATCTCAGAGATAAAATAATACACTAAAGTATTAGCATGGGGTTGAAACAAGTGTCCCTTGTAGAGAGGTCGTCCCTATCTCGGAGGGTCCCTTATGGGAGGGTTCCACTGTGCAAACCTAGTCCCTTCATTGCGCGTCCTCAGTCTTCCTGGCATCATCCTCTGCACTGAATGGAGAGTGGGGCTTGACAGTTCCTCTCATAGGCACCTGGGGGAAATACAATTACATCATCATGATGTCAGATTTACACCGAATGTATTAGTGAGGTAAATTAATGCTGCTATCGCTCTCTCTTCTTATCTAGTACGTCATCACCATCGATGGGTTAAAACCAGAGCGAAGGCAAACATCACCACTACACCCAGGAAAATTCTTGTTCGAAAGAAAAGAGCCGCCCTAGGTGGATTTGGACACTCTGCAGTCTAGGCGAGCGCTCTACCAACTGACTACCAGGGCAACTCACTGGTAGGGGTTCAAATCTACGACACAAGACGAAGGCAAAACCTCATACTACTGTGCTATGGCACCACTCGTGGTTTTTCTACATGTTCATGCAAAATCAACCTGTTTGGAAGCAGTGACAGAAGAGAAGAGGAGGAGGATGATGGGGCAGGGATTAGTTGAAGAGGTGGTCTTCTGCTGACTGCTAACACTCAGTAGCTGCCATCTGGTCAGTTGGTGGAGCTGCAACTGACATAGCACCTTTCTGAGTACCAAGTCCTTCACAAAGCTTCACAATGTGGTCTGTTCGCCAAACTTGGGCATAGTTTGGGGTTTCACAAATTGTTGTTGTTTGTGTTATACGTTTCACGTTTTCGGCCAACGTTTTTGTGTGCATATTTTGTGATCTTTCACGGGCACGTATTGGTCTGCAATAATCAAGTTCCATAAAACGGTATAAGTAACTGTTATCTTGCGTAAATGTACAGCAGTTCAATGGTTACTATAATTATATCAACTGTAGAGTATGTTTGCTGCACTCGCTTCGAAAATGCACCCATTCTAAGGTAGCCATGTCCAGTTATCCTATCACCAATTGGCCTGCTGGAGGTGTGGGATAAACTGCTCACCGAATGGGACTGGCGACTTTGGACCAGTTTCTTGGTTGTGCTGATCGCGGTCACATGACCACCGACCAATCGTAGCATGCAGTTAAAAAATCGTCGGGCGTGGTCTCCAGTTCGACATGCGATGTGTATGCTGATGTCAGCAGCAGTCAGAAACTGCCTCCAATGTCACCAGACATTTTGGCTGAGATGGGTCTGGGATGGTAGACTAACTGCGGGGGAGGCGGACGGGTAGATACCACCCGAGGAGTGAGGCTGGGTAATGGGTACCCGGGGCCCGGGGGAGCCTGTGGGGTAGAATATTAGAATATTGCACGAATAGCCCCCCAGAGTCGGCTGCGATGGATACCCCCGGGAGTAGCTGCGGAGTAAATCCCGCACTGATGGATAGGGTGTGGAGTAAACCCTCCAGACTGACGAGGGATACACCACCTCCTGCGGTGCCGAGGTGGTAAGGTATATGAGCTGGAGGGAGTCGAGGGGTTTGACGGAGGTGCACGGGGCAGCGGGGCCAGGGGGTAGGTGGTGGAGTGGAGGAGAGGAGGAGGGTTGCTGGAGAGGGAGAGGTTCGCGTGCGTGTGGGGTTGCAACGGTCGTGCTTATGGTGGGACGAAGGACCGCGCCCTGGGAAGGGTGCTCTTGGTGCCTGGAGCTGAACACAAATCTCGTTCTGCTTCACACGGTAAAGGCATGAAAGAACAGAAACCAAAGAGGAAAATAATACACAGAGAAGTGTCGCGATGGAGTGTTAGTTAATGCGACAGCCAGACCGCCCTCCGCCTCCTAGTTGTCTGCTGTCGACACTTCCCAGCACCTGACGGGACGAGACCGGTAGCAAGGCAACGAAAATGCAAAAAGCAAAGCAAGGTCAAAGTCAACGTCTGTGATTCTAAATATACGCCGCAAAATGAACTGCTCCCTTCGCTGGCCTAAAAATGTGTTCTGCAGTATCGTTCTAGTATGAACGACTTTCTACATAATGCTCAATGCTCGACCTGTCACCCACCTCAGCTCAGAGATGATTATTTCACTCCTATAGGGCAATATACAAGAGGAAAGCGGTAAAATCTAATGCGAGTTGAAAACTCACGTGCCTCCTCCTCCGGGTGTTGCATGGACGGTGGCTGGGAGGGGTAGGGAGCAGGGCCTCCTCCTGGAGCCCATGGAGAAGACTGCCAAATGAATCATGAATAATTCATGATTCTACAGATCGATTTTCCCCAATGCAGCGACTTACCTGCTGCGGGGGTACCCACTACTCTAATCCAGACGGTGGAGGATAACCAGGATACCCTGGATTTGGCGGAGGATAGGCCTGACGTCGACGCGACCCTAGTAGAACCTGCGGTCCCGATCACGTGTTCGCGTCTCTCGTGGGCGCCGGCGGGGATGTTTAAACCTACCTATTGAGCGATTCCGGATGATGTGCGCATGCGACGTTTTTTACGTCAGGATATTGAAATTCGTGGTGGTGGGGCCGGCGCGCATGGAGTGTGTGTAGCCTAGCCTTGAGATCCATGTCTTGGTGCCGTCGCAGACGTTTAAGACCTGGTGGTGGCGCGTGCTCACGATAATAGTCCTGGTGATTGCCGTCAACGCCTTATCACTTCCTTCACGCAGAACTACACCCGTCCCACTGCACCCGGTCCACGGCCGTCCCTTTCCGCCTCCAGCTGGACGAATCTGGAGCTGCTGACGGGCCCAGGCGCTCTACCTGAGTGTGGACACCCGCTCTGCGCTCTCAGACCAAAGACCTTGTGCTCCGCCTCGGCTACGTCAATCCTCGCCTGGCGACGTTCATGAGACACGCCAACCTACCATATCACTCATTGAGATCAGGAGGAGCCTCATCGACAGGGAGCCATCGAGAGATTGTGGGTCGGTCCATACTCTAGCACACAGTTTGAGGTAAGTACAATTTGTAGGAAATTGAACCTCTACAGTTGCCCTGGTAGCTCGGTTGCTCCAGCACTCGCCTTGCCGGTAGGAGCCGTGGGTTCGAATCCTGTCTGTTGTTGCCTTTGCCTTTCTATCATCTAGTTGACATACATGTAACACTTAGCTTGTAGAAAATGTCCATGAAAATCACGCTCCCAAATTCCCACTCTAGGAGTTGGGCGAGGATGAGTGTTTTACACTTTTATTCAGGCGTGGACTCCTCCATGTGCATTAGCTCTGAGTCGCTTTATTACTGTAAACTGTCTCAGCTTGCTCAATAACAGTAGCAGGTTTCAACCCCCATAGCCGCAATGTAGGATCAGTTACTCGGGAGAGTGCATCACTTGTGAAAGACAAATATTTGAGAAGTCCTAAAGTAGCCCATTTGTAGCTGTCCCCTCACAGTTGAGAAGTCCTAGAAGAGAATAATATTATGGTAGCATGTTTCTTGCAGGATTAACACAAGAATGAAGCTTAAGATGCTACCGATCCTAAACGTTCTCTCTCTGTGCGTCCCTTGCAGGTGGTTTCAATAGAAGACAAGAACTGCAGTTCAAAGACGTTCCAACACACTGTGGGACTCCTCTACTGCTACGACGTCCGAGCCGACCACCTGGACACGGCGTGGATCAGCTACACCAAGCCGATATCCGGAGAGAAGGCAATCTTCACGGCGAGAGCAGAGCAGCCGGTCATACACAACTGGAAGACTAACGGTGCCGGGGAGGTAGTTGTGTGCGCTGCCATGCTCCCCCACTACACCCCCTTCGTGGAGGACTGGCTCCGCTACCAGAAGACAGTCGGAGTGGACCACGTCCACCTGACTCTCGAATCGCTCTTTCTCAACCAGGGAAAGTTCGACGAAGAGTTTCTTCAGACGTCTGTCGAGGACTTTTACCTGAGTGTGACGTTCTGGCACCGCTGGTTGAACGACACTGACATATGCGACCATTCCCTCGATCTAGCACTGTTTGACTGTGTCCTCCGGTTCCAGCGGACCTACTCCAACATACTGATTGCGGACCCCCGGGATTTTTTTATTCCGTTAGAATCTGACAGTCCCACCGCGACGCTTCCTTCTTTTCTCTCTCGTTGGTGCCCCGGTGACACACACTGTCAATTTGAGCAGTGGAACATGATCTACAAGGACTGTAAGAGTGCCGGCGAGGATGGAAATGTAACTGCAGTCGTCTCTGCAAAACGTGTTGGAAAAAGAAGTGGATACCTGTCAGTGTACAAGTCTGCATTACTGCCTTACAACATCAACGAGCCTGGATTGCCTCAAGTAGATCCTGACAGTGCCAGCGTGAAGAAGAAGAGGGTGAAAGTGAAAGTCGTGCCGGCAGGAAAGGGTACTTTGCTCGACTCTTGAAACATGAAAAGTTTTCAAATGTCAGAGTATTACCCTATGATGAGCATTGTTAGTATTTATTCAATAACTCATCTGTTCACTCAACTAATAAACTTACAGAACGACCTTATTTAGTCTGCTAAGACAACAAACCTACATCATGAACTATATATAGGTATTTTTCACTATCCAGCCTGGTTCAAAGGCGGGCACTTCATATTACTACGCATGCGCCTACGTGGGCGCGACCGCTATATGTCACACGTACGTACGTACGTCGCATGTCGTCCACTGGACTATAGCGAGCTGCCCGATTTAGTATTGTTGAGGCTCGCGGACTTCCTGAAAGAGGAGGACACGACGAGGCTGGGCATGACGTGCCGTCGCCTCCGCGACCTCCTCCCCAGGTTCCTGGTGATGCGGGGGGAGGACTTTTCTGTTCCCGGCTCTGGAACCTGGTGGGGAGACCTGGAACTGTACTTCGACGGCCCTCGGCTCCCTGCGGGCGTGAAGCGACTGACAGTTAGCGTGGCGGGCTGGAAAGACCAGGGCTAGGGGAACAGAAAAGGCGAGCTCTTCGTCCGTCTCATGCGCGCACCGCTCCAAGCCTCGAATCAGAGCGCTAAGAAAGGGGACAAGAAAGATAAAGATCGTCGCGAGGGCGAGACTCAGGTGGCGGAGAGAAGGGATTTCTTCGGTCTGGCGGAGCACAAAGAGACCAGCGCCAGACTAGAGATGGATGGCAGAGAAAGCGTCGTGGCGGGTGCCCTCTCCGGCGACTGGTATCGCTTCATGAGGAGGGTGGGGGGTGACGGCGGTCACCGACTTATCGTGAACGGCTTCAGAGCAGTAGCTATGCTGGATTAGTGGATCGATGTTAACCCCGGCCCTTTCATGGGCAAAATTGAAATTGGGCGTGGCTTGTAGATTAAATGTACGCATGCGCATATTGGTCCGAGATTACATATACCATCGCCTGATAAGAAATGCTGTGTGGTCTTTGGCAGACTCACTGTGAAAAAGCCGAGTGCATTTCTGTGATTTCCGAGTAGGTGACAGACTGGCATTGACTCTTAGTAAGTGGCTACAGACTGGCATTAACGGTGATAATGTTTTGTCTGCATGACCCTCAGAGGTTATAGGTAAGGAGGAAGAAGAGGGGTGTTTGATGCTTATCTGTTGAGTAATCAGGATGCTGGCTCAAGGCTATGTTCTCTCAAGTTTTACGTTTAGAGCACACTATAATACTAATCTACTCAAGTTGTACATTTTGCTTTCTGTCGTAGAGCAGACTACTGATCTACAAATTCGTACAGCAGTGCATGATCTGCTGAATGCAAGCCACAGACGAAAGTATATACAGTAGCTATAGTAAGGGTATGTAATGTTGGGGAAGAACATGTGCAGTATCTCAGTTAAACGCTCTAATAGTGCATGTATTTAAATGTGATTTCGCTTGCTTTCGCATCCAATACAGTAGTACCCGTAAAAATTGTCACGCTAAAGTAACAGTAGCACTTTCCTGTAGGCGGGATTTTGCTTAGTGAACTGGTTGTTCGCTGGATCATTTTCTTAGTCATTATTAGCTACATGATCTAAACATTCATGCCTCGAAGATTTGTTGTCTGAGCTTTTTGCACATAATCAGCCAAAGTGTTCAGTTTGATATCCCGTATTACTTCTCCCATGTCACCGGTGTTGGTGCTTCTCGTAGCCGTAGCTCTCAGACAAAGACCTTGTGCTCTGCTCGGCCTACGCCAATCCTCAGCTGGAGACGTCTGTAAGAGTGCCGGCGAAGATGGAAATGTAACTGCAGTCGTCTCTGCAAAACGTGTTGGAAAAAGAAGTGGATACCTGTCAGTGTACAAGTCTGCATTACTGCCTTACAACATCAACGAGCCTGGATTGCCTCAAGTAGATCCTGACAGTGCCAGCGTGAAGAGAAGAGGGTGAAAGTGAAAGTCGTGCCGGCAGAGAAAGGGTACTTTGCTCGACTCTTGAAACATGAAAGGTTTTCAAATGTCAGAGTATTACCCTATGATGAGCATTGTCAATAACTCATCTGTTCACTAAACTTACAGAACCACCTTATGTAGTCTGCTAAGACTAAACAATAGGTATATTTCAGTATCCAGCCTGGTTCAAAGGCACTTCATATTACTACGCATGCGCCTACGTGGGCGTCACCGCCAAAAGCACAATAATTATAATTATAATATATACAGAAAATTCCGCCCGAACGAACGACTAGGTTGGCTCGCTCCCGCTCGCCAATTATGCTCGCTCCCGCTCGCCAATTATAGCTCGCTCGAGCGCGAGCATGTCCTCCACTGGACTTAGCGAGCTGCCCGATTTGGTATTGTTCAGGCTCGCGGACTTCCTGAAAGAGGAGGACACGGCGAGGCTGGCATGACGTGCCGTCGCCTCCGCGACCTCCTCCCCAGGTTCCTGGTGATGCGTGGGGAGGACTTTTCGGTTCGCGGCTCCGGAACTGGGTGGGGAGTCGTGGAACCGTACTTCGACGGCCCTCGACTCCCTGCGGGCGTGAAGCGACTGACAGTTAGCGTGGCGGGCTGGAAAGACCAGGGCTGGGGGAACAGAAAAGGCGAGCTCTTCGTCCGTCTCATGCGCGCACCGCTCCAAGACAGTAACGCCTCGAATCAGAGCGCCAAGAAAGGGGACAAGAAAGATGAAGATCGTCGCTCCAGGTGGCGACAAGAGGGCGAGACTCAGGTGGCGGAGAGAAGGGGTTTCTTCGGTCTGGCGGAGCACAAAGAGACCAGCGCCAGACTAGAGATGGATGGTAGAGAAAGCGTCGTGGCGGGTGCCCGCTCTGGCGACTGGTATCGCTTCATGAGGAGGGCCGGGGGTGGCGGCGGGCACCGACTTATCGTACGCGGCTTCAGAGCCGTAGCTACGCTGACGAACTCTCAGTGTAGTCTAGTAGTCTAGAGCTAGCTAGCTGCGGGTATGTGTATATACGCATGCGCAATTGGGGCGTGGCTTGTATCATACGTATCCTCCCCTTCTCCCTGAGCTCCTGACCGACTCTCTCTCTCGACTCCCCCGCAGGAATCCATGAGTACTGAAGGTGAGCGCAAGCTGCAAGCAGTCCTGTAATTTCTGGAGAATCCTCTTCGGCGAAACAAGAGCAGCTTTTGCAGTTGCTGTTGCACGTCCCGGCTTTTTTTTACCTTGACTCTCTCCTTACTCTGCAGCTCGCAAAAGGGGACCCACTGCGCGACCTACTATAGTGGTAGAACCCCAGCTTAAACTACCATGGTGTCTATGTGTTTGCATCCCTGGCAATTCCATAGTAGTAGAGCCCGCAGAGGCGAGTGCTAGGGAGGAGGAAGAGGAGGGGGAAAGAGGGGGAGGGATAGGCGTACTGGATGTGGTGAAGGCGGTTGCTCCTCTGCTGATCATCATTGGACTAGCTCTTGGGATGCTGGTCCTGGGCTATATATTTGTTCCCGAGACCCTCACTACTCCAAATTGTAAGCAGAGTCCTCAGACCATGCTATATTATAACTATAATGTAGCTTGGCAGATTTGCTCACTATTGTTGTTCAATTATTTAGAAGTTTATTTATTGGTTATAGATTCTCCATCCAAAAATCTATGAAAGTTTCTCATACGTGCTTAGGATTTGTATGTGCTAATGGAGAGTGTAGTAACGGTGGGCTGATATATTATTCATCTCTCCAGTTCAGCGGTCTTCCTCGCTTTCATCTGCTCCTACACCATCTCCACCATCAGCTGCGGAGAAAAGTCAGTCACACTCTTATAGTATGTATATGCACCAGTTTTCAGAGGTTTTTTTGGAATGAAGCTCTTGTTGCGCTTACTGCCTGCTTCCATTACCACGCTGTCTATAGTGTGGTTTCATGCTTCATGCAGAATGCAAGGTGATCAGTGGAGCAAAGCCTCTGATAACTGCTCTAAAGGACCTTTCTCGTTGGAAGGAGCTCGGTTTGGCACTGGGCGTCCCGTCGGAGGAACTGGGAGCCTTCGAGAAGGATAACGAGGAGGCGGAGCTGAAGAAACGAGGGATGCTGCGGACGTGGTACAGTCGTGAGAGTGGTGCCTGTTGGGACAAGCTGGTGGAGGCTCTGGTGGGGCTGGGGGAGAGCTCTTTGGCTCAGGAGATTGCCCGTGCCAATGGGCTCAGCAGTGACTCTGTTTAGAAAAGGAAATTCTATTCTATTGGGTGTTTGGTTATTTTACCTCATATCTATTTTATATGGCCAATAATAATAAAATTATGGTAAAACACTGCGCTTACGATTTGGCGAGCGAGTGCAAGCAGTTCAATATTTTGATGGAGTTTAGACAATAAGTCTAAACTAGGTTAACAGGAGAGCGCAGCGCCGCCCCGGATACGACACAAGTCGCGGGAATAGAGCGGGAAATATAACCAATCACACGCTAGTATCCGTCAACCAATCAAATGCAAAGAGGGATAGCAACGTCATGGTAAGCGTAACCTAGGCATCTCTGGTCAGTCCAAGCAAACGAGACCAAGCAAACAAAGCTTTCTCGCCGCTCTGTTCGCGCGTCAGCCCTGTGCGTTCAACTCGACGTCATTTTGTCTCCGACTCACTGAGAAACGATGGCTACGTCGTCTGCTGCAACTTTTTCCACGGCCGGGGCCGTTGTACCCATCACTACAGCGACAGGTGGAGGCGCAGTGGTTCCCGCAACCCCTCCTACCGGTAAGAGTTCGGCTTAGTGAGATGCGGAGAGTTGTGTTAGGCTCTCTTTGTGGCTGGGCAAGCGCTGCGCGGCAGTGCAATGGTTGGGGAGCACCGCAGCAAAGATAGCAGCGTGACATGCAGGAGCCAGCAGTTTTTGCAGAGGCGGTAGCCGCCCCGACTAAATGGGTGCTTACAGCACAACCCAGTGTCTCGACGATTTCTGGGACGAGCTCGGGCACGGGGGCTGACAAGTTCAGTGCGAGTCAAGTGCGAGCTTAGGACCTCGGCGGTCCGCTGTGTGATGGTGGTGCTATGCTATGTGGTCCGGTGGCACACAGTAGTGGTGGAGAATTGTGCACTTTCGTGTTGCTAGGCGCGCAGGCTTGCAAAGCCTCTGTTTTTAAAAAGCCCGCGTCGCGGGGCGGCGCGCGTTATGCGGGCGCGGGGCCGCGCGGCTGCGTGCAGGCGGTGGGGGCGTAGCTCGACGGGCTCGCTCGGCGTGCAGCGTGTGGTGCTTATGAGCTGTTCTCTTGCGTTTGCAGTGGCAATGGGAGTGATGCCGGCTAGCATTCCGCCAATCCCGGCGATGGCAGCCACAACACCTCGCACAGCCCCTCGCATGGTCTTGGCGACCGTGGTGTCAGCAGCAGGACTCATGGCGACAAGTGTATTCCCCCAGCATCGACGGCAACGGGGTTGCCGGTGACCGCCACGGCGGTACCCACTCCGGCAGTGGTTCCCGTGCTCCCGGCGGCACTGGCGACAGGGGTTGATCCGACAGCAGCACTGTCAGGGCCGCTAACGATGGCAGCATCCACGCCGAGCGGCACTCCGGTTGGCACTCATGCTACGGTGCCGGTCACCAGCCAGTTGCTGGGGGAGGGTTTGGCGCCGTTACTCCAAAAGCTAGTGAAAAGATCATAAGCTTGGAGTTCGTTGAGATGACTGACTCCTTCCGGAGGCATGGCTGCTGCGAAGAGACGCCATGGAGCCCAGTTGCGGCGGCAGCGGGGCCCAGTGACCGACATCCTCCAGTGGGTGCAATGCTTCGCCACATTTGTGAGCACATTGACTATGGTGTATCCGACGAAGACACCTGAGCTGATGGCGTACATGGCCTGCATCGTCCGGTGCCATAAGGACTATGAGGGCCCGGCCTGGGTTCTGTATGATCGAGCATTTCGCCGCAGAGCCGAGGTAACAAAGGACCTCAACTGGTCGGTGGTCAACACATCTTTATTCAACCTATGCTTTGGGGGGAGGGCTCGCCGTCGGGGCATCTGCCAAGTGTGCCTAAGTGAACAGCACACAGCAGAGAGGTGCCCTCGGCGGGTGCTGGCAGTGGGAGGCACACTGGCGTACTCGGCTGCGGTCCATCCGGGCATGGCGTACGCTCCGGCTGGCATTCCATCGTCATACCCGCCATCTCCGACACAGGAGATTTGCCGGCTGTTCAATGCCCGGGGTGGGAACCGATGTAGGTTCCAGCAGTGCAAGTTTGCACACATGTTACCGGTGCAGGGCTTCAGGCCATGGTGCTGCACAGTGCACAGCTCCTGGAAGGAGCGACAACTTTGGAGGGAAGCGCCCTCGGTTGGGGTAGGAGGACGTTCTACTACGATGCAGACAGCAGCCCTCGATATGGCTCTTGCGGACGTACGAGTAGAGCTATGTAGTTGTACATGAACTTGTAATGCATCTTATACTGTCAGACAGTGTACCATGAAAGATTACTCCTTATATGTGGCATAGCGGTGCCGGGAATTAATAGGGTTGGCATAAGGGAACGCGATAAGGGGGTTAAGGTTAGGGGAAGGTGTGAAAAAAAAAGGTGTGACCACTCTAGCCTGTCTTTGTCCACTAGTCCGCTAGTGTGACCGAGGTGTCATGCCTCATGATTCAGAAGCAATGCTAGAGGGTCACACCTCTGCTATACGTAGGTAGGATAGAAAGAGGTTCCGAGGCTATGCTTGTTTACACGCACACACATACCCTGTAGGTGGATATCAGTACACTGCAGATCTGCTGGCATTAGAGCAGCAGGGAACATCGACGGAAAGGTCTGTTGCCAGGTGGGGGCTATAAGCAAGTCACGACCCCGTTCATTTTGACAGAGTGGGAGGCCGCGTTGCAAAGGCACCCAGATCAGGTTTACGCACAATACCTCCTCAGGGGGCTGCGGGATGGGTTTCGCATCGGTTTTGACCGGCAGCAAGCACTCAAGTCGGCCCCAAAGAATATGCGTTCTGCGGCAGAGCACCCAGAGGTGGTATCGGAGTACCTTGTTGGAGGTGGCCGCGGGCCGAGTTGTGGGTCCTCTGCCAGAGGAGGTAGGGGTGGCATGGCACGTGAGCCGGTTCGGGGTGATACCTAAGCCACATAAGCAAACAAGTGGCGGCTGATTGTTGATCTCTCTTACCGCCTCTCCATAGTGTCAACGATGGAATTGATCTGGAGTTGTGCTCATTAAAGTACACCAGAGTTGAAGAGGTGGCGAATGCTGTGATGCAGCTGGGAAGAGGTGCAGAGCTAGCAAAAGCAGATGTAAAGGCGGGCCTATAGAATAGTGCCAGTGCACCCCAGGACCGCTACTTGTTGGCCATGCGGTGGCAGGGGAGTATGTACATCGACACAGCTCTGCCTTTTGGGTTGAGGTCGGTGCCAAAACTGTTCAACGCAGTGGAATGGTGTGGCACAAGGATGCAGGGGCTGAGTTTCTGTGGCACTATTTGGATGACTTCATCACAGTCGGCAGGGGTGGCACAGGGGAGTGTGAGCTGAATATCTCGATTTTCAACCATGTCTGCAGGCGATTAGGTATCCCGTTGGCAGCAGACAAGTGTGAGGGGCCGGCTACATGCCTCACATTTCTTGGAATAGAAATCGACTCACAGGAGATGGAGTTTCGCCTGCCAGCCGAGAAGCTGCAAAGGTTGCGCCAAGAGATTGGGTGCTGGGCAGGTAAAAAGTCATGCGCAAGGCGGGAGTTGCAGTCGTTAACGGGCCACTTGCAGCACACAGCCACCGTAGTGCGGCCAGGTCGGACCTTCATCAGGAGGCTCTATGACCTGGTGGCGGTAACTAAAGCAGCACATCACCATGTTTGGCTGAACTCCGATGCGGGGTCGGATCTGGCCTGGTGGGCTACCTTTCTGGAGTCCTGGAATGACATATCGTTGGTGTCAGCAAGTCAACAGCAGGTCCCTAGGCACGTGGTTGTGTCAGATGCATCTGGCTCATGGGGTTGCGGGGCATACTATGCCCAGGAATGGTTCCAACTAGAGTGGGCAGGTTCAACTTTGGAAGGGGTCTCAATAGCGGTGAAAGAACTCATCCCTCTGGTAGTGGCAGTGGCATTATGGGGCTCGGATTGGAGAGGGGACGTAGTGTCTTGCAAGACCGGTAACACAGCGGTGGTGGCAGTAATAGCAACCAGAACCTCTCGGGACAAGCACATTATGCAGTTGCTCAGGTGTCTCTTTTTCCTGGAGGCAAAAGACGATTGTCACCTGGTGGCATCTCACATACCAGGGGTGCACAATGAGCTGGCAGCCCATCTGTCACGTAATTGATTGTCTCTCTTTCTGCAGCAGGCCCACCCCTCTACATCCCAAACCCCTCGGTTGGTCCCCCAGGAGCTGCAGGCTCTGGTGTTCAGTCAGCAGGACTGGACCTCTGCAGCCTGGAGGAATCAGTTCAAGAGTATTTTCAGGAGGGCGTAGCGCCAGCCACAGGCAGAACATATGCAGCAGGTATAAAGAGGTACATAGCTTTCTATTCTCTCTACGGCATCCAAGACCAATTAGACGTCACGCAAACTACTCTCTGCTACTACGTTGCTCATTTAGCTAACACAGGCTTTGCCTTCTCCTCCATAAAGACGTATCTATCTGCAATCAGATATTTTTTTATCTCCAACGATAGGCCACTTACGTCAGTCGCCACCACACCTAAGTTGCAGATGGTGTTGTCAGGTGTTCAGCGAGTTTTATCAAGGGTAAAGGCGCCTCAACCCAGGCTCCCAATTACACCTCCAATTCTTCGCCAATTGCGGTCAGTTTGGTCAAGGGAGGTACACAACTACGACCATATCCTGATATGGGCAGTTTGCTGCGTCAGTTTCTTTGGTTTCTTTCGGCTGGGCGAACTGATACCAAGCTCGGTGTCAGCGTTTTACCCAGCCATGCACATGCTGTTAGCCGACGTGGCTGCCGACTGCCCGAGCAGGCCAACACTGATCTCGTTGCAACTGAAGTGGGCCAAGACGAGACACAGTTTGGTAGAGGCGCCACAGTATTTTCCTCAGCGCTCAGACAGCGACGTTGCCCGGTGTAGCAGCACTGCTCGCGTACATGGCCGTCCGGGGACAGACATCCAGGTCCACTTTTCAAGGGCTCGGATGGGGCACCTCTGGCGAAGCCGTGGATGATTGGGCAAGCTGCGGGAAGCTTGGCAGAGGCTGGGCACGATCAGCGGATGTATGCGGGACATAGCTTAGAATCGGAGCTGCCACGACCGCAGCAGCAGCTGGCATTGAAGATTCCACCATTCAGGCGCTGGGGAGGTGGT